TATAATATAAATATTTAGTTTGTAATAAATGGGAAAATTTAATGAAAAATAAATAAATAATTTATTATTGTTTATTATTGAAGAATACAATTATATAAAATAACAATTATTCATTATAAAACCAAATTTTCACTAAACCATCATCACTAGCTGATGCAAGTTGTCCAGGAACAATGGGATTCCATTGTACAGAATTTACATCTTGAGTATGAGCAATATCCATAGAACAAATCATTGTAAAAGTTGGTTGATGAGGATCAGAATCACTATCTTCTTTAAATATTCTAATAATGTCATCACCACATGCAGTCACTAATAAACCAGTTATTTTACACCAATCAATGTCATAAATCGTCCTTGTATGATAACCAGTTATTGTACACACACATTTCCAAACAGACTCATTATTTGTTGTAATAATCCCTGGCTCATTACCAGGCTTATATTCTTGCCATATTTTCACTGTTTGATCATCACTACAAGTTGCAATTCGATTATTCTGTTTATCCCATGCAAGACTCCAAACTGTTGATGTATGAGATGATAATGTTGCTACACATGACCAATCATTATCCACTATATCTTCTTTGAATATTTTTACTGTATTATCATAACTAGCAGATGCTACAATTTCTTCATTAGGATGCCATCTTACCTATAATAATTTAAAAATATTAATAAAATTTTATTATAAATATCATTATAATATACATTTTAATAATTAACATAATATATAGTATTATAATATATATTACCTGTGATATATATACACATCTACTTACCTTCTTGACATCTTGAGTATGAGCATTAATAACAGCAGCACATTCATATTCATCATCATTAACCTCCCATATCCAGACAGATTTATCACGACTACATGTAGCTAACAAATGTCCACTACAAGACCAACTAACACTTTTCACTTCATTCTCGTGTCCTTCTAAAGTTGCATTACACTCAAATTGTCCTGTTTTTTTATCCCATATTGCAGTTGTTGCATCAAAACTAGCAGAAGCTATGTAATTTCCACAAGGAGACCATGCAACTTCTCTAATAGTTCTAGTATGACCCTCAATAAGAATAGTTTTTACAACCCATTTAGGATCTTGTGGTCCCCATATTATAATTGTTTTATCTTCACCACAAGATGCAAGATAACTACCCTTTGGATGCCAGCAAATATTCCATACCCTTCCCCTATGACCACTCAAAGTTTGTTTTAATTCCAATGTCCCCATTTTTACCTGCAACAATAAATGCTTGCTTTTCGAGCTTAACTAAACTGAATATGTTAAGTTGTAAAAAATAATTATTATTGAGGTAAAATAGCTGATCTTCTTAAATTAGTTAAGACAATCCTGTATTTTGATAATTTATTCTGTATTTATAGGATAATTTATAAGTTCTAAAAAAAGCATATTTTTTATAATTTATTTTGCAATAATGAAATTTTTTTCAAAAAAATAAAAAAATTAGTGAGTTTTACAAATTTTTTTAATAATATTTATTATGTTCACATTGTTTAATATTATTTATATTGTTGTTATATTGTTATATTGTTTATGTTCATAATATATAATTTAAATTAAATTCCACTTGTAATTTATTTTCTAAAAATGTATAGTGATTCTGAAATTCAATATTTATATATATATATATATATATATATAATATATTAAATGTATATATTAAAATACGCACAATTTATTTTGTAAAAAACGAAATATTATGCACTGATACATTTTATATATATAATTTGGCTGTTTTATATTATATTTAAGAGAATATTAAGAAGAAATATTTATGTGAATAATAAATATTAAAAAGATCGTAAATTATAAATATTATTATATTTAAATATTTAAAAAAGTATTTAAATATGTAAAAAATACTTTTCAGACATAAATTTCAAGAATCATATATAAATTAACAATTATTATGATAAAATGATAAAAAAATATTCGACATAACCTAATAAATTATATATTAAAAATACTTACGATATAAGTTTTGAAAATTTATTAAATTTGCATATAAAAGAATGAATTATTAACAAGATTTATTACTTTCATGTACTTTATAGCTTAATTAATAATTATAATATACATATGCACGCAATATTAAAAACATGAATTCAAATATCATGTGCATGATATAACCATAATCATGAAATCCTGATTAGACGTTTAAAATAGTTATTTTTAATGCACGTTTAAAACAAATTATCATAAAAAATACTCCAGAATTTTAATTAAATATTAAAAATACTTACGATATAAGTTTTGAAAATTTATTAAGTGCATATAAAAGAATGAATTATTAACAAGATTATTTTCATGTACTTTATAGCTTAATAATATACATACGCATACAATATTAAAAACATGAGTTCAAATATCATGTGCATGATATGACCATGATCATGAACCACTGACTGATTAGATGTTTAAAATAGTTATTTTTAATGCATGTTTAAAACAAATTATCATAAGAAATACTCCAGAATTTTAATTATCATTTATGAAATAAATAAATCATTATCATTTATATTAAAAATTTAATAATTATTAGTTAAATTAGTTAAGCAATTTAACTTTTAAATTAATTTTTTGGAGGCAGATATAAAATTCTATTTTATAAAATTGTATATATGTTTTTATTATTGTTATAAAAAAAATATTATATCAAGCATAAAAACTAGTATTTTATATAATATAAATCCATAATTTATATTTAAATTTTATATTTTGTTTTTTATAAATATAAAATAATTAAATTATAACTAATTTATGATTATATAGAAATAAATACAATAATTATCAATCTGATATTATATTATATGATGTAGATACTGATAATGTATCTGTGTCTGTTAAAGGTAACATTTTGGTACAAGAATCAGGAGTCCTAGAAATTTAAAAAAAAAAACAATCAAAAATTATTTTTTTAGTGTTTTTTTAATTAAATTAAAATACTTACACATCTTTTAAAAGATGCAGAACATGTTTATGTTCAATACCTTCAAGCCATAAATTTAACAATTCTTCTCGTTTACATCTTAATAATTGTTTGCAGGCATTCAAATTTTCCTTAACAGCATGAATTTTTTCCCGAGATGCTGTTACTTTCTCTGACAAAGCACTAAATATCTATATTAGAAAATAATGAAAAATATTATCAATATCATATATATATAGTTATTATTTTAAATTATATATTAACTTAATATATTATAAATATTAAATATAATAAAATTAAATATATTATATATTTAAATTATAAATTTTATTATAAATTATTAAACTATAAATTATATATAAATTATATATTTACTTGCATAACTTCTGTAAGATCCTGATCATGTAATGATACCAATTCATCAAGTTTTTGATCACTCTTTTTGTATTCTTTTTCAAGTTTAGCCTTTTCTATTTCTCGTTGTTCATTAGTTTCACTTGCTGATAATGCTCGAATTACAGAAATCAATAAACCACTCTATAAAAAAACATAAAACAAAATTGAATTAAAACTACAATTTTGAGAAAATTATAGTATTATAACAATTAAATAAATAAAAAATTAATAAACTTACTGTTTCTTTAGTTGGTTTAATACCTCTTGGAGGTTTAATAGGTGGTATTGAATTCATTTTTAATAGTTTTTACTAATAAAAATTTTAAAAACTTCAAATTTTAAATTAAGCTTTTTTTTGTAACTAAAATTATAAATAAAATTTGTATTATTGTATATATGTAAATTTAAAATATTACATAGGTTATATTATTTTATATTACTTTAAGTTACGTAAATTCATAATATTTTAAAAATAAAATTTTTTAAAGAATTTTTATTTTTAAAAAGTAAAAGTATTAAATAATAATTATTTAATTATAAAATTTAATTATTATGTGTTTTGTTATACAATATAAGTTTTCAGGATGATATTAGATCACATGATAACTGACAAAGTGACAAATAGCTATTTGAAGATTATATACATAAGTATGTATTCATGTTTATAAATCATGTTTTGCAATAATAAAGATATTAATAAATCAATTCATCTTATAACAATTCTCTTTATTGATATATAATGTTACATTACAACTTAATATATATACATATTTTATATTTCAAAATAAAAATAATGAATTTTGTGATGAAAAAAAAGATCATTAATATTCAAAATTTTAATGTCTATTATAAATAATGACGTATGTAATTCCAATTATATGAATTGCAAAATATATAAAATTGTGATTTTTTAATTTTAAAAATAAAAATCTTTTTTAGACATCCTTATTTAATATCTTATATAAATTTCAAGTCGAAAATAAAATATATACACATATTTCCTGTAAGAAAAGCTATTGTCTTTTGACGAATTTTCAATTTCGTCGAATCTATTAGTTAATAATTTTTGACTTACAATATTTAATAAAAGTATCACAGAATGTATCATATAATTATATTGTGTGGTACTTTCAAATTGCTTATTGTACATTATATTTAATTTCCATTATTTTCATATGGCAAATAAAATATGAAGAAAATTATTTTGTTGCAATTTAAACAAAATTTAAATATAAAAATGTTCAACATAAACTTAATTTGTAAATTTGCTTATAAAAAATTTGCTTCAGAATTAATATATTTTTTGGTATCAAACATAAATCTTTTGTTTTAAAATTTTTTAATTTTTAAAAATTTTTTTTATCAATTTTATCAATTTTTTCAATTTTAACATGTTGAAACATGTAAATTAAAGTATAAATATTTTATTGATGAATTAAACGTTTTATTATCCAATCAAATAGATTATAAAAATTATTATTGTAGATATTACTTTTAGACAATATAACTTTGTAAGAACAAAATTCAAGAAAAAAAAATATAATAAATTAAAATAGATCAATGTTTTAAAGATCATTAAGGAATGTATATTGTAAATAAAGTTTTTAAATTATTTAAAAATGATTATTTAAAAAACGAAACTATTGTTTCAACATGGTAAAATATACAGCTTGAAAGCTTCATGTTAAATTTACATTTGTGGTAATTGATCAATAGGTGTTGCAAATCTGAAATCTTCTGGAAATAATTTTCCTGCATGAGGATACATTAATTTATATGATTGTCTAATTGTAACATCAGCTACACCAGCAATATCACCAATTTCTTTTTGTGATCGTTTATCTTCTGATGCCTAAACAAAAAATAAAATTTGTAAAAATTTTTTAATTTGTAAAGATTATAAAAATATAATATAAAAGAAAATATATTATATAAATATATATTATATATAATATATTACATACTTGTGATGCCATATAAATTGCAGCAGCAGCTACCGAAATTGGTGATCTTCCAGGTACAATATCAATTTCCACAGCCTTTCTTGCAATATGTGTAGCAGCCCTTTGTACCATATTTGGAAGTCCAAGATTAGAACAAAATCTTGACATAAAGTCTCCTGTGGTGATGAGATCTACACTAGTTTCAAGTGCTTTTAGAATCAATTTAAAACATCTTCCTATTTCCTTTTTACTTATCTTGCTAACTGCACAAATTTCTTTAAAAGTACGAGGTACACCTTCTTGTCTACAGGCAATATATAAACAGGCAGAAGCAATTGCATCATTTGCACGTCCTTTTAGATTTTTACCATCATGTACTTGTTTAAATAAATTATTTGCTCTATCAACAATAGTTTTAGGTAAATTAATACGATCAGCCATTCCATTGATTTCACGAAATGCATTGATTAATGCTCTATCAGAACTGCTCATCTAAAACAATAATTCATTAACTGAAAAAAAAAAAAAACATATTATATCATAGCATATAAATATATAGTATAATAATATTTACTGTACGTCTATTTTGGTATTTTGAAGCACCAAAAGCATCAAATGATGCTGCACCAGTTCCAGGGCCAATCATTGTGGATAAATCTGAACCATTAAGAAGAGGATTTTCTGGACCACCAACACGTGATGGATCAACTCCAGCTTTTTCATTGCTAAATGTTCTCCATTCTGAACCAACATCTATTACTCTATATATAATAAAAGAAAAAAAAAATTAATTTGAATTTATATTATTAAATAAATATTACTTTTAAGTTATGTATATATTTACCTATCTCCTACAACTAATCCACATTCTGAACAAATTTGATCTCCAGCTCTATAATCTTCAATAAGAGGTGCATCTGGATGTGCATAACAACAAACTTTGTTTGTTTCATGTCTGCAAAAAAGAACTAAGAAAATATGTACCAAATATTAATGTATACATGCATATACATATAAATATTATTGATATATTTATTTTATTATACTTATATTAATAATTACAAAGATAATAATTAATGACATTCATTTATAATTGCTTATATTAAAAAAAATATTTAAAAGATAAAAATGTTTTATTTTTATTTAATATATCCATATACAATGTAAAACATGCTGAAATATTCAATTATTCTTTTAAAAAATGAATTATATAAAAATATATAATAAATAGAATAATATATTATGTTCTAAAATATAATTTATCAAGAATATATAGAGAATAAATAAATAATATTGTCAAATTTCATAATCATAATATAATAATTTTAAATTAATTAAATTTAATTTTAAATAATAATAATCTATAAAGTAAAACATTGTAATTAATGCTATCGATGTCAATCGAACAAATAAAATTTTCTCAAAATTTACCTTGACGAACTTGCCATATTTTGGATTCGTGTTTTTCCACTCTGCCGCGTAAGTCAATGTAGATTCTTAATACCTCTGTAATATTCATACATATATATATGAAGTATAAAGGACAACATACAATAATTATTTTCAAAATTGATTCTGTTAAATTAATTATATAATATAATAATAATAAGATAAAGAAATTAAAATTAAATATAAATATCATACATATTAAATTAAAAAAAAAAATATTTGATTATTTATAATGTTAAAGATGATATTTAGATGTAATCACTGTCTACTTTAAGTACAGGCTGATTGTTAAATTTGGCAGCACCGTCTTTGCTAATATCAGGAATCTATTTTAGCATTGCGGTAAATATAAAAACAGAGTTATAATTAATGTTTTTTTAAAGAAATAAATTTAAATATTATTATATATATTTCATTTTTAATAATTATATATAAATATTATAAAAATATATATGTATTATAATTGTAATAAATGAATATAAATGTTAAAAATGATTGAAAGATTATGAAAATATTGAATACATTTAAGATTATGATTTTTTATATTTAAAATATTTAAATTTGTTCAAATAAATATTAATATAAATTAAATTTAAAATATTTTATAAAGAAAATTATAGCTTTTAAAATAGATAATTATAAATCATAAGTTAATACAAATGAAAAAAAAATATGATTTCTAAATGAAAATGACTAAATATATATAGGAAACAAAAATTGATAGAAAAAATTACTGAAAAAAATTTATGTGTAGACAATCGTGTTGAAAGATAATATATATAAAAATATAAATGTTTATAACAATATTTAAAAAATGATAAATTTCTAAATACATAGTCACTTTTTTATTTTTCTATAGATTTTAATATAAATGTTAATCGTTTTAATTTTCGAAACAGTAGTTTAAAAGAATTTTAATTTTATATTACATTAGATTTCTATTCTATCATGTAAATGATAAAAACATTATTAGATTTAATATAAAATTTAAATTTCAGAATTTTATATGATATAATTAATATTATAATTTATAATTATTTATTCTATGAAAAATGTATTATTATAAATAATTTTACAAATAATATATAAAATTGTCATCATGATATTGTCTTTATATTTTTTGTCATATTATTTTTTATCCAGTTACATTATAATTATTGAGTTTGACTCAAATCGAATTTCAATTTTTAATCCTTTAAATAAAGAAATATTATGGAAGCACATGATTTGACCTACAAATATAAATTATGTATAATGTATGTTATATATATATAATGTTACTCTTTATTTTCGATAAGCAATTTGAAATTGGCGCATATCGATACTTTAATTATCCAATTAGTTGAAATAAAAAATCAACATAGCATCATAGAATTTTTTATTGAAAGTTAATTTGAATTTGACGCATACTAGTACTAATCGTCCAATCTGATTGGATAAAAATTTAACATGATATCATCTAATTTACAAAAATTATTCAAAATTCTCAATTTTATATATAAATAATTTTTAAATTATTAGATTTCAAGAATTAAATATCAAAAATAATCATTTCTAGATTATGTATATCAAAATTTATAAATTAAAAAAAGTTAAGAAATTTTAATATCTTTTTATAATATATATATTATATATATACTAAATTTTTTTAATTTATTATATATTTTTAATTATCAATCTTTCCCATAATAAAAAAAACTTTTTATCCATATTTTATAGAAGTGTTTATATTAATTTATAATCAATATATTTAACTTTAATCAAGAAATTTATTTTGTGACATTTAACCTACAATGTTATATTGAAGATAAAGTAATAATTAAGTTACATATGCGTCATATATTTTGAAAATGATATATTATTTAATGTTAATGCATGTATGAACTATAAATTTGATACATTAAATGAATAAAATCAATATAATTAATGTAATATTTAATAATGATAAAAGATTGTGTAAAAGAATTTCATATGAAAATTAATTGATACAATTAATTATATAAATGAATTTATATAATTAAGCTATTTATAAGATATAAATCAGAAATTGCAATATATTTTAATTGTAATAAAATTAAAAAAAAAATGACGTTGGAAGATGCACAAAATGCAGCAAAAAAAGCAGTACAATTTGATGGTAAAAATCAATATAAACAAGCTTTATATTATTATAATATGGCTGTAAAGTATCTTTCAGAATTACAAGATTCTATATATGTTCAAAAACTTTCTGAATATCGAGAAAGAATATCAACTATAGAAAGCCTTAGTAAGTATTTCATATTACTTTGTGATATTATACAGAAACTTAAAAAAGACTTAAAATTAAAGTTAAATGAATAAAAATTAACATGTAAATTAATACATATAGTTAATGAAGAAGAACAGAAGCATCATAAAGCACAATCTATAGATCAATCAAAATTACAAAAATTTAAATTTCTTATGAATCAAGCACAAGATGCAGATGAAGCTGGTTTAAAGAATATTGCTATAAAATTATATACAGATGCGGCTGAACTTGGACTTAATATGGTAAATAATATCATTTTTTATTATTTAAATTTATAAAATTTGTTAATATTATATTTACAGAAAATTATTGATGCAGAAGCAAAGATTAAATTAACAGATCTTATAAAACTTGCCCTTGATAGGGCCGAATCTTTAAAAGGTTTAAAATCTATAGATAATAATGATATTCTTAAAACTCTTTCTAAATTACCTTCTGTACCAGAAACAAGTCTGGATGAAGATGAAGAAAAAATACCACCTACAATTATAACAACATCTGCTATAAATTCTAGTAATACAGGTAGTTTTCTTTTTATCGCAATATAAATATATATATATATATATATATATCCTATATAATTTCATTTATACTCAATGTTTAGGAAAACAAATTCGTTCATCACTTCATCGTGGAAGTAGTGTACATTTAAAAGTAAGCGGTGGTAGTACTAATTATACAGAAGAAGAAAAAAGAGTTTTGCTTCATAGTTCCCATATTAATGATCATGAATTTGTACCTTTCATGAGCATTGATCTTACAGAAAAGTTTCAGTATGCTATTCCATTTACTGATAAAGATGGTTTGTTAGCATTAGCACCAAAACAAAAACCTGACTTTGCAAAATGGTGTCGACCAGAAGAATTATTTTCTGATCCAAAAATGCTTAAAACATCACATGTTGATTATTACAGTATAAGACAGACGGTTGGTCATTAATAATGATTTTTATATTAATGATTTTTGAATATTGGAATTTAATTGAATATTTAATTTCAGGTTGTTTCTGATTGTTCTTTTGTTGCTTCCCTTGCAGTTAGCGCTCAATATGAAAAAAGATTTGGACGTAGACTTATTACATCTATTATTTATCCAAAAAATAAAAACAAAGAACCAATATATAATCCATTTGGTAAGAATTTATATTTTGCTGTACAACTTACGAATTTTTTTTTAAGTTGTAAGAATCAGCAGTTTTTAATTTTCCTAGAATTTTACTTCAATGAAAATTAAATTGCGAGTATTTTATATTAGGAAAATATATGGTGAAACTACACATTAATGGTGTTCCTCGAAAAATTATAATAGATGACTTATTGCCTGTAAGTCGATACAACCAATTACTTTGTTCCTACTCTAGCAATCATGGTGAGCTGTGGATTTCGTTACTCGAAAAAGCATATATGAAAGTAATGGGTGGTTATGATTTTCCTGGCTCGAATAGTGTAAGTTTATTTATATAAATAATCACAAAAATGATAAATAAAGAATTTAAATTATTATTTCATAGTGATATATTTTTATCCAGAATATAGATTTACATGCTTTAACTGGTTGGATACCAGAAAGATGGGCTATAAGACCTAATGAGCCTGATTTTAATAAGGACAATCTATTTAGTGTTTTATTAACGCGTTTACATAAAGGAGATGTATTAGTTACAGTTGCTACTGGAGAATTATCCGATTTGGAAGCAGATAGAACGGGTCTTGTACCTACTCATGCCTATGCTGTTCTTGATGTTAGAAAAATAAATGTAATCAATTATTTTTTAATTATTTAAAAATAATTAAATAATTTAAAATATATATACAATATATAGGATGGAGCAATAACCAATAATAGAATTAAACAAAAGATGATTCTGCGAAAAAATAAGAAAAAAAGTTCTATATTTTTTCCTTCAATACTTTATTTTTGAAAAAATCGATTTTGAAGATTTCACAAATTGAATATGTTGTATTCTGTTACCGATTATCTCAGTCTAAGTTAGAATAAATATTAATTAATAAATTTTTTAATTTTTTCATGTTAAAGAATAAGAAAGTAAATAAAAGCAAAAAATAAATTAATTTCTTCAATCATTTTTAATTTGTTGAACAAAGCTAAATATAACAAAAGATTTTCAAAAATAAACAATAAAAGACAATAAAATAATTTCCAAAAACACTTTGTATTAATTTAATTGTATCATTACCAATGTTTATAAATACTATTTTAAATTTTATTATTTATAGTTAGTCAATAATAAAATACATAATAACCAAATTATATTCAGTTGCAAATTTAATATTAATTTTTTTTTTATTTTTTTTATGTAAAATCATTTTCTCTCTGATTGTATTATGATTACTGTTCTACTCCAAATAAGTTTGTATCTCACAAGTAAATTTATAAATGTAAATTTATTTTTATAGGAAGAAAGATTATTACAACTTAAAAATCCTTGGTCCCATTTACGATGGAAAGGAAATTATTCTGAACTTGACACAATACATTGGACTAATGAATTAAAAGAAGCTTTAAACTATGATCCAGATTCTGCATCTCAGTTTGATAATGGAGTTTTTTGGATTGATTATGATAGTATATGTCGATTCTTCGATGTTTTTTATTTGAACTGGAATCCAGGTTTATTTAATTATACTTATTGCATTCATCAGTAAGTTATTAAATTAGTTTATTTAAATCTTATCATTTGAGAAATTGATACAAAAATATATTTTTTATAAATATATTTTATTGTAGAATGTGGAATGCAGGAATAGGACCAGTGAAAGATGCATATAATATTGGAGATAATCCTCAATT